GGACTGTTATAATTAAATATAATAAAGAACATCAAGTGGTCAGAGCAGGTCAACTGGGCACCCAGTAATTGTGATTGTCAAGCTCATGCAGTTCAGAGGGCAGGAAGAATGAGATGCTGGAGGGTGGCAGAGTCCTGGCCTTGCAGCAGTCCAGAACACAGATGGGAGACCCCTGACCCCAGGGATCCCAGGATGGGTTGAGTGAGAGACACTGCACTGGTGGTCATGAGATACCTCTCCCATCCAGAGTGGCTTGTGCATCTGGCTCCTGGAGATCCGTACCATGTGGAGTGCCATCAAATGAGCTGGTGTCCTGATGCCTCCGGCTTCTGTGACAGGAGGGAGCTCCAGGGCCTTCTCTCCCCTGGAACTTGCTGAGAACTAGGGAAACCGGATGCTCTGATGACCTAGTTGGCAGCTGTGTCCATGTTTGGCTGGAAACAAACATTTCTGCCTCACTGGGGGTCTTGACCAGGTGAGCAAACTTCCCTATTTGCCAGGAAAAGAGGCCTGGCTGGCTGTCAGCTGGATGTCAGGCCTGTAGACTTCTGGGCTGAGCTCAGTGCATGCTCCTGCCTTCTTTCCCTTCATCTCCACTGAGCCCTGGCTGGGCACATGGTGGAAACTATGGCTGCTTCACCACCCCATACCTCAAAAAGGAGCTGGGAACAGGGCTTGAAAGGTGAGAGTCACAGATCAGAGAAGCTGGACTGGAGAAATCTCAAGGGTGCAGAGCTGCCTTGGATACAAATGGTCCTGGGCCCGAGAGGGAGGAGTCTGGATTGCTAGGGGAGGCATTTCACTGAGCTGGAATTTGAGGGAGGGGTGGATTGGGGTAAAGAAGTTGACAACTGCAAAGGTTACAGTGGTGGAGTGTCGGGCAGCTCTGAAGGAGGAAGGGGGTCACTAGCACAGTAGAGTGGGGTAGGCAGGGCCATGCCCTCCGGACCTTGCCGCAGCATCATCCCTCTCCTGCCCACAATGCACACTTCTTTAACCTCACACCCACCGCAGGTGACATGCTCCTGCCCCCCACTCCACACCCTGCAGCTTCTCCATCCAACTCCCAAGAAGCAAGAATGCTTTTCTTCTGCATCTTTCTGAGCTCTTCTGAGTTCACCCTGATCTGTGGCTTTGATATTCAGTCCAGTGTCTCTGGGCCTGCAAGTTCCTCAGCCCTTCAGCTTGTAAGGCCTCAAGCTAATGGAGTTGAAGTTGGGCAAGGGGCATTGGGGAGCTCAAGACAGATGTGGGTGGGATGGGACAATACCGAGATGGCCTGAGCTATGACAAGAGCATTCCTGAAGGAAAATGTGTCAAATGCAAAGAGAAGAGGGGCTGGGACTCAGTCCTGGTGAGCATCATTTAGATGTCCATGGAAGGCTAGCACATCAAAGAGCCTGAACAAGGTGATGCAAGGGGAAGGAGAAAGAATAGTGTGAGGGGACGTTGCAGGTGCCAGGCAGACTGTGCAGAGACAAGAACGTTGATAAGGGGGTCCCTCTTCCTGGAGTATCGAGGTGGTAAGTGTGAAAAGTGCACTGAGCTTGTCTAGGAGGACACCCTCAAAAACCTCAGCAAGGACAGGGTGGGGGCAGGGAGGTGCCCAACACAGCCTGGAAGGGAGAGGGGGGAAATGGCTTACCCAAGAGGTTTCCTATGAGTAGGAAAAGGAAAAGGAAAGCGGTTTACGGGTCTTTTTTATCCTTTTAGGGAACCCTGGTAGTGCAGTAATTAAGCACCTACCCACTAACTAAACCATTGACAGCTTGAAGTCACCGGCTGCTCTTTGGGAGAGAGATATGACCGTGCATTTCCAGAAAGGTTTGGGAGTCCTATGGGGCAGTTCTATTCTGCCCTAACTGCAATGAGTCAGAATCGACTCAACTGCAGTGGGTTTAAAACTTTGAAGATGGATAAGAGTTATGCACAGCTGATGAACTGAGAGGGAGACACTGCAAGGCAAGGAGAGAGAGTATGTGAGAGCCCGGTCAGTGCCCTGAGGGGTGGGATCGAGAGCACGTGGTGGCAGGAGGAAGGGAATCAGTGCATTTCCGCCTGAGCTGCGTCTTCTCAGTGCTGCGGGTCAGGGGCAGGCTTTGGTGTATGAGGGGGGCAAGGGTGTGCACCAGGCGACCCAATGGTGGCTGAACCCCTCAGGCCCAGGTTGCTGGTGATCCAGACAGATCTTCATCCCACGAAGACATGGAGAGAGGGCAAGCAGGGAGAGTGGTGCTCCAGTGGATGCAGTGGTGCTATGACCACGCGGAGGAAGAGGCTGGGCGGCCATGTTGTTTCTCCAGAATCATTTTTAATACATTCACGTGGGTTATACAAAGAGCTGTCCCAGTTCCGGGCTGTGGCCCGAATCCTGGGAGGTGAGAGCAGCATTTGTGTAGTGTTGTGGGGGATCTGGTGTGGAGGGCTGACACCTTCTCCTCCAGGCCTGAGGAAGCACTTCTGTGAGTGAGCACCTGCAGTCCTGACCCCAACCAGACCTGGGATTGCCAGGCCTGAGGGACAGGGGTGAGCTGGGGAGACCTTTCCACTCAGGGCTTGAGAGGAAGTATACCCCTGCATGAAGAGAATAGAGAATTTGGAGCCAGAAGTTCAAGAGCCTTCAGCATGGGCATAAGAAAACAGAAATCCTTATAACTGGATCAATAAACAGTATCACGATAAGTGGCAAGGAAAGAACAAGGCAGCAGTGAAAAATCAAATCAAATAATTTGCTTTGGGCAAACCTTTGGCAATTGTTGTTGTGAGGCACCACGAAGTCGATAAGACTCATAGCGACCTTATGAACAACAGACCTGAACCTGTCCTACCCTGTGCCGTTCTCATCATCTCTGACACACTGAAACCATTGCTGCAGTCCCTGTGTCAGTCTGTCTTATTGGGGGTCTTCTTCTCCTTCGTTGACCCTCCCCGTTTCCAAGCGTGATGTCTCTTGGTGTGTCTGACCCAAGCCATGGCCTTTTCATGTAGTTCCTCTACTGGTGCAAACCATCATACACTTGATTGCTAACCAGAAGGCTAGCAGTTTGAATCCACCCAGTGACTCTATGGAAGAAAGCTCTAGTGAGGCACTTCCATAAAGATTATCGACAAGGAATGGTGAAATTCTACCCACTTATATGGGGTCCCTGAGTCAGAATCTCAACCACATGGCACCAGCAAGACAACATGTGTATGACAGACAGCTGGATAGTGAACAGGACCTAAGGGCTGGCACACTTGATTCGTGGTGCTGGCCAAGAATACTGACTATGCACAGACTTCAAGCAAAACAAATCTGTCTTGGACAAAGCACAGCTAGAATACTCTTAAGAAACAAAGATGGTAAGGCTTTGTCTTGTTGACTTTGTATATGTTACCCGGTGAGACCAGGCCTTCGAGGACACCATGCTTGGTGAATCAGAGCATCAGTAGGCGTGAGACCCTCAATGAGATGGACTGGCACAGAGCCTGCAACACTGGGCAAACATAGCAACAGTGGTGAGGATGGCCCAGGGCCAGGCAACATTTCATTCTGTTACACACAGGGTCACTATGAGTCAGAGCCGACTCCATGGCACCTAGCAACAACATCAACTTCAAATACTTTGTAACGTGACAACTGAGGGAGATGGAATCCGCTCAACTTCCATCCACCTCCTCCCACCAACGCTACCCACCAAACAAGTCTGAAGCCACTTTTTACAAGCTCTGCCTTACTGCCTTACTGGGTAGGTTGGAACGAGTCCTCTTCTTAAACCTCGGTTCTCCTCTCTGTGTACATGGGAAGGCTGAAGTCAATGGTCTCAAATCCCAGGCTAGGCTCAATGGAGGAGAAAAGAACAAGAGAACCCAAACCAGGGTGCACAGGAGGAGAGAAGGGCTGCCTGCCTGGGAGTGAGGAGGAAGACGAGCAGGTGGTTCGGGTGCACAGGATGCTTCCAGGCCCTGCTTAGGTGTTGTGGAGCCCACTTCCTATGCACCACACAGCCTGCAACCCCCGTCTCTGTGTGTAGTGGGGAAGGCCAGGCTGAGAGTCAGGAGGATGTGGGTTTGAATACCACGTGTGGCATTTCCTAGCTGGGCTCCTGAATGAAGACCTTCGCAGCCTCAGTTTCCTCTTAGGTAAAATAGGATCAAATACCAACCCCAGGGTTGCCCTGCAGACACAAGTGAGGCTTGCACACTTGCATCTACAGCCACCTGAGCTCTGATTCCTGGCTCACACTAGTTGGCATGGGTGATGCAGAAGGGGGGCTGGGTGGGGCATGGATATAGGTGTGTGCAACATGAGAGTGTCAGGCAGGGAGAGAGCCCGCCCAGAGCCAGAATAAACACGTGCTGGGCTGGAGTCCAGGGTGACAGCTTCTTAACCAGATCGTGATGTAGCTGCCTGTCCAGTGGCTCCAGATCCAAGATGTACTCATGTGACTCACGTTCTCTCCTCCGGCCACCAGCTCTTCATCTTCCAGAGATGCTCAAAGTCATCATCAGAAGATGTGACAAATAGTCTGCCTGGAAAGGTTTCAGACAAGTCTCCTCTTGGTGCTGCCCTGCCCTGGCCCTGGCCCAGCCAGGCCTTACTCTCCACGCTGGACCAGCCAGAGCTTCGGAGCTGCTTCTCTCCAGAACCCCCAGAGCTTCCACACTTCATGTCCCTTATCACACTGTGAGGTCATTGCCAGCTCTGTGACAGCGCCTAACACACAACCAGATCAAGAGACACTTGAGGGCAGGGTGGCGTCTCATCCACCTGTATTCTCCATGCTACAGCATGGGAAAAAGATCTGTGAATCATATGAGCAAACATTATTCTCTGCTGCCTCTAAGACTGCCCAAACTCTGGCTCCCACAGCTGGACATTTGTGACCTGGGACATGGGTCACCTCTTGATGCAGCAGGATGCAGGGAAAGGGGACCTGGGCTGGGATTTGGAGACCAGGGTTCTTGCCCCTTGTTTGCTGTGTGACCTTGGGTCAGTACGCATCCTTCTCTGTGCTTCTCTAGGCTTTGTACTGCGTGTTAAACTTCTGCCGGCGGACAAAGCAACAGGTGACCAGTGTGGTGAAGATGATGATAGCCACCAGCACGAAGGTGAGGATGATGATGAGGTTGACATTTTTGAGCTCCCTCTTCTCACAGTCCTCAGGACGAACGTGGCTCAGGGACACCTCTTCCTGGGAGCCAAAGCGGCATATCAGGTCCTGGGTGGCGTCCACATCCACGCGGCCTTGGTGTAACTGGGCTGCCAGCCAGCCGTTGCCGCAGCAGCTGAGCGGATTGCCCTGAAGGTAGAGGCGCCGGAGGCTGGTCTCAAGTCCACCCATGGCGCTGCCTGGCAGGAGGCTGAAGCTGTTGTTCCTCAGGTCCAGCACCTCCAAGGACACAGCCTGGGTCCAGGCAGGCAAGTGGCTGAGGTGGTTCTCAGCAAGATTGAGCTGCTTGAGGCAGGTGAAGCAGGGCAGGTCTACCTGCAGGACAGTCAGCCCATTGCCCTGTAGCTCCAGGACCTCCAATGACACCTCCAAGCCAGCCAAGGCCCCTGCAGCCACATCCAGCCCAGGGTTGGAAGAAAGGTCCAGCTCTGTGAGTGGTGTGTGGAGGAAGGCACCTGCCTGGAGCCTCTCTATCTCATTGTCTGCTAGATTAAGAATGTGGAGGGAGGACAAGCCAGAGAAAGCCACACAGCTGGGCAATGCAGGCGTCCCTGGCCCCCCACATGGATGGATTCCATTGCCTTGCAGGTTGAGTCTCTGCAAACTCACCAGGCCGGCAAAGGTGTAAGGGGGCAGGTTCCAAAGGGCATTACCCTGCAGGAACAGTGTCCTCAGGGCCCCTAGGGCTCGGGTGCCTAGTTCCAGGGACTCCAGGGCATTGTGGCTTAGGTCCAAGAGTGCCAGGCAGGGCAGGGTGCCCACATGCCGGGCTTCAAAGGTCCGCAGGCAGTTCCGACTGAGGTTCAGGAAGCGCAAGGAGGTCAAGGGCTCCAGAAAGCCCTCAGGGATCAACTCTATCTCATTGTAGCTCAGATCCAGGTTCAGAAGCTGGGAAAGGGGGTGGGTGCTGGCATTCCAGCTGGGGTTAGAAAGGGGCAGAGCAGACCACCCCTCAGAGGGACTGAGCACCCCCTGGGTGCCCTGGGAAGTTCCCGTGGGGAGCCTGAGGAGGTTGTTGGACATGTTCAGGTAGGTGAGTTTGGGGAGGGCAGCCAGGTCTGGGAAATGCAGCAGTTTGTTCTCCCGCAGATCCAGCCAGGCAAGCTGGTACTCAGTGTGCAGCTCTGGGGCCATCTGGAAGGTCTCAATGCTGTTGCAGCTCAGGTCCAGCACCTGCAACTGCTGCAGGCTGAAGTCGGAGATGCAGGTCAGAGAATTCCTGGAGAGGTTGAGGTGGGCCAGCCGGGGCAGGGCCTCGAACGTGCCCTCCTCGATGTCCATCAGCACGTTGCTGTGCAGGTCCAGACGCTCGAGGGCAGGCATGCCCAGGAAGGTGTGGTGGGTGAGGCGAGTCATGCTGTTCTCTGCCAGCGAGAGGGCGCGCAGGGCGGGCGCCTCCCTCAGCAGCCGCTCCACCAGCCCATTGTACAGGCTGTTCGCAGACAGGTCCAAGGAGGTCACGTGAGGCAGGGGACTCAGGCCGGTGCTGGCTGCTAGGCGGTTGTGGGCCAGGTTGAGGTGCTCTAGGTGAGGCAGGTCCTGGAAGACACCTGGCTGCAGGAAGTTGATCTCGTTGTGACTCAGATCCAGATGACGAAGTGCTGTGCAGAAGCCCAAGGGTGAGACCAAGATGCTCCGCAGCTGGTTTCTAGACAGATTGAGGACTTCGGTGTTCAGCGGGAGCTCTGAGGGGACCTGGGGCAGGCCAAGACCCTGGCACAAGACTTGTTTGTCCACCTGGAAAAGAAAGAGGCCGGGGATAAGGTACAGCTGACATTAGGGTGGGACCAGCACAGCTCACCAGGGAGGCTTATTCGACCCCTTCTCAACCTTCTGCCCCCAAAGGATTTGGTGAGGCTTCTCCTCTGGGCTCCCAGAATGCTCCACGTCTCTTTACCCCAGCTGAATCGCTCTATGTCTAGTGATGTCCCATCTGGCTCCCAGCACAGTGCTGGGCATAAAATAGGAACTCAATGAAGATATTTGATGGGTAGCTAGAGAAGATAGACATAAGAAAACTAAACAACAACAAGAGCCGCTTTGGCAATTATTAACCTATTTTACAAGAACCCCAGGTTCAAAGAGAAACTATGTGCTACTTAAAATAATCCAGAGTTAGTATAAGCAGCAGGACCACGCTGGGACCTGGGTCTTCTGACATCATATTCTAGTTTCCTTCTATGGACCATACAGTTAAACATACTCAGCTAGTATTAGACTGGAAGTGGCTCTGGCAACAGAGGTTAGCAGGAATAAGATTACCGGGGACATATCTGAATTGAAGGGGGAAATGAATTTTGAAAGGCTTTGTTAGTGGCGATGTGCCAGTAGAAATGTCCCTTCCCGCTCTTGTCTGGCTGCCCTAGTCAGGCGCCCTGCATATTTGTGGCACTTGGGAATGTCCTTCTGTGCCTCATCTGATGCTTGGACTTACACCCAGCAGTAAGTGCCCCCCTTACCTCTCTTGCTATGCCTCTGTTTGGAAAAGTTTCCAACAGGGAAAAATAATGTCATTTTTAATCCTGTCAGCAGGTTTTATTTAGACCTCCCACCCTCAGGTCTTGTTCAAGCCCTCATTCCACGGGGCAGTGCTCCTGGCTGCCTTCCTCACTGACGCTCCCCAGATGTGACCTCCTTTCTACTGCTGCTTCCCGCCCTGACTCCCTCTGGCTGCCTCATTTCCCATGGCCAGGTCCAGTTCTTCTGGAGCAGAAAGAAAAAAATGAGAGAGAAAGGAAGAGGTCCTGGTTCCAACCCACTTTCTTAGGTGACAAGTCTGATTTTGCTGTGTGACTTCGATCAATTTTTATTAAACTCATCTCCATTCCGATGTCATCAAGACAAACCTGACTCACAGCTGACCCTGCTTTTCCAAGGCTGTAAATCACACTGGAGGAGGCTGTCCATCTTTCTCTAGCAGAGCAGCTGTTAGATTCAAACCACCAAAGAGGGACTGCTCCTGGTTTAGCAGCACAACTCCTCACAGAACTGCTGCCATTAGGTGCCATTGAGTCAACTACAATTCATAGCTATTCTGTGACTAAAACGTCTATGCTATTCATAGGCCTATGAAACTAGTTGCCATCAAATCTGCTCTGACTTACAGCAACCCCATATCAGCATAGAACTGTGCACCATGGGGTTTTCAAAGCTATTCAGAAGTAGATCACCAGGCCTTTCTGCTGAGGGACTTTTGTGTGGCATCAAACCGTCAATTCTTTGGATAGCCTTTGGTTAACCATTTGCACTACCCAGGGACTCCCCAGTCACATTAGCATTCTGATTTCTTATCCAGAAAGTAAGTCATTCTTTCCCAGCCCCCACGCAGCATATTCTTTACTATTTTACTAAATAAAATGCTCAGGCCATAGGCTCATTGAATCCGCACAACAACATGCCCTTTGGATGTGATTCCATTTATTTACAGATACTTGAGACCTATAGGGTGAAGGAAGTCTACCTGGTAAGTAGATATTGGATTTGAACTCAAGTCTTTTAATAACCCAAGGCCTCACTCTTGCCCTTCTACTACTAGTACCTCTTAAGGCCAGAATTTTTTATGCAAATACAGGTTTTGCTCTTGTTCATTTCAGGTCACAAGAAACCTAGCTTTTCTCAGGAAAAGGGCTGATGCCTGCAGCCACCCAGATCATACTCTCTCCTGTCCCTGGCATCCCTGCCTCCATTGCCTCTACCAGGGAGCTTTCCTAGATTGCCAGATAGGCCTAAGGCCTCCTCTGGCCTCTTTCAGTTCCTACACTTGCTCATTCACACCTTTGTCCCCTAACCGTGACTGTTTATGTGTGGGTTGCTAGACAATGAGCTCAGAGCAAATGAGTACTGGTTTGATTTATGCAATATTTTGGACCTGGCACATAGGAAGTACTAAAATTACTGGAAAAGTCACAGACGTGAAGGTTTGAGGAAGCACTAAATCAGTGTTCTCATGGAAATGAAAGAAAGGGATGATTCATATACTCAGACTAGAGACAAAATTTGTTAGAACAAAAAAGGGTCTATTCCTCCCATTTTCCAGATTGAAAGACTGAGGCTTAAAAATGGCAGTGATTTGCTTAAGGGATCAGTGAGTCAGAGGCTGAACTGGCAGGCAGGAACACAGCACTCCGTGGCTGGCCCTCCTCAGAGCCCCAGACACAGACACTGGGGTTGTCCCTGCATTTGGGCCCTGGGCAAACTGGAAACCGACCCTGGCTGCCTTGTCTGTGGTGTCTGGCTCTCAGTTCTATCCGGCCTCACAGCCCCTCCAACTTCTGGGGCCAGTTAGCATACCCTTCCCAGCTCTACTCTCAGTCCCCTGGACGATTCTAGTTTAAAGAAGAAAAAGCATAATGAACAAAATGACAAGTATTATTGTAGAAACGCAGCTCTGTGTCAGGTCCTGAGTTGAGTGCTGGGCCTCCTGACCTCATTTAATCCTGAGCATTGCTGATCCCACTTGAGGAAACAGGAGCGGGCTACTGGCGATCACACTGAGAGGCTCAAAGGCAGCATTGGTGAGTTCCTTTTCCTATTGGTACATGGTAAGTACTGGCCAGTAGACTCCTAGCAGGACAGCACCCAGTGTTCTTTCTCCACACAGCAAATAATAGCAGCCACCACCTATTGGTGTTAAGATCACAGCCAGATGGACTGACACAGTGACAGCAACAATGGGCTTGAGATTGGAGGTGAGGATGGCGTCCATAGAGTTGCTTTGAGTAACAATCCACTCAACAGCACGTAACAATAACAATGACTTTCTGAGCTTTCATTCTCTCTCTCTGTATGTGTATGTTTAGGGTAGTACTGTTACCAGGCTTCACAGGCCATCCCACAAACCCTCTACCCTTACATTACCTCTGGATAGTTAGAGGCTCCATGGAGCAGCAGTCTCTAAGAACAGAACCATGAAGCACACTTGATCAAGCTCAGAGACTATCACACTTGTTTTCTACCCAGGTGTTCTGGACCCTGTTCTCGATGCCAAGAACAGGTAACACAAGGCTCCCTAGCTATCAAGTCCAGGAAAAAGCCTGAGCCAGATCATTTCTCAGAATTTCACATCAGCACTGCCACCCACCTTGAAGCTCCAAGGCCCAGTGCGGACTGTCTGGCAGTGAAGAAGGATCATGGCAGCCTTGGCCAGAGTTCAGAGCCTCCTTCTGACAACTCATCATTCACTGATTTCTCTGATGCCAGGAATCCAGTCCCTGGCTTTTTCTTTTAGGAGAGGAGGACATGTACCCTCTGAAACTCCATTTTGCCACCTGCTCATAGAAGAGAAATGAAGTTGGCAGGGAAGGAGGGTGGACTGAGTTTTGGTGGACTGAGTTCAAATTCTGGCTCTGACAATTTCCATCTGTATGACCCTCATGGATCACATCTCTTCTCTCAACCTCAGCATCTAGAGCTGACAAAGGCATTCTAGTGCTGCTGTTGTAGTGAACTGTCAAGTCGGAACCAACCCATATCTAACCCTCCAGTGGGCTTTCAGAGGCTGTGTATCACACGAGAGGAGATCGCCCATCTTTCTCCTGAGGAGCAGCTGGTGGATTTGAACCACGTTATCTTTGCATAGGCAGCACAATTCCTTACCACTAGGCCCCCCAGAGCTCCGATGGCATTCTAGGAAAGATAAAATGTGAGAAAGCTCCTGGAACGGTGTAAGCACCCTGCAGGCCCTTGGCAAGGTTTTTTGTATAATTGTTAGTCAAATAATCATATGGTCTACTACACTGGCTACTACTCAGCATCAAGAGAATAATTACCCTCACAAATGGATCAACAGGCAACATCATGACAGATGGAGAGAAGACCGAAGCTTCCAACAATTTCATTTCTCTTGGATCCACAATTAACACCCATGACAGTAGTAATAAGTAATTTTAAAAAAATGTGTTGCATTGGGTAAATCTGCAGTCAGGGATCTCTCTAAAGTGCTCCAGAGCAAGGGTCACTTTAAAGACGAAAGCTTGCCTGATACAGTATTTTCAATGGCTTCATATGTATATGAAAGTTGGACAATGAATAGGGAAGATCAAAGAAGAATCGATACCTCTGAAAGGGTGTGTACTGGAGAAGAAGACTGAATAACCCACAGACTAGCCAAAGAATTTGTTTGGTTATGCAACCAAGAGTGGACCTTAGAGGCAAGGATGGTGAAACTTGGTCTCACATACATTGAGAATGTTGTCAGGAGATGCCAGAGCTTAGAAAAAGATATCATGCTGGGGAAAAGAAGAGAGTTAGCAAAGAAGGAGAAGACCCTCCAATGAGATGGACTGACCTTAAAAATGGACTTGAGCATGGTGGAGATTGTGAGGTTGGTACAAGATAAGGGGAAATTACAATCTGTTGTTCACAAGGAATTGAAGTTGTCTCAAAACACCTAACAACAACTATGCTGGCAATAACAAATTGAAGATGGATAATGTCTAGTTCATTGTCAAAGAGTATTTCAGTATCTATCCTGAAGTATAATGTTATCAATGATAGGATAATATCTATACCCATACAAGAAAGACCTGTTCATATAACTTTACTCAAATTTATGCACCAACAATTAAAGTCAAAGATGAAGAAAATGAAGATCTCTACCAACTTGGGCTAATGGTAAGAAGCTATGTTGTAATGCCAAAGGTACATAGTTCAAATGCACCAGCTGCTCCACGGGAGAAGGATGGGCACTCTCCTCTCATGTGATTAACTGCCTCTGAAAACCCTCTGGAGGACCAGTTATACGTTGGTTCTGACTCAACAGCACCAACTTGTGCAGTCTGAAATTGATCAAACAAGCAATCAAGAGGTATTAACTATAACTGAAAACTGGGATGCAAACACTCGAAACCAAGAATATTAGTAGTTGGGAAACACAGCCTTGGTGATGGAAATGAGGCCAGCATTTTGTACTACCAACAACTTCTTTATTGCAAATACCTTTTTAACAATTGTAAAAATAATTGTAACTCTCAAACCTTCTATTTGCCCAGAATTCAAAGTTCACTCTGCCTTTATGCTTCCTGGTTGGGTGGCCAAGACCCTCCACCTCTCTGAGCTACAGACTCCCTGTGCTAGAATGTGGAGATGCCTGAGATCTCTGCCGTTACTCTGGGTGGTGAAATCTCAGAGGGACTTGAGGATCAAAGAGTTGGGGTGGCTTTACTCGCCCTGAGGTTAGGCTGCTGGCAGATGGCTGTCAGCACTTGCCCATCAAGTGATAACGGCTTTCAGTGGCAGGGCCATGTCTAGTTATAGGAGGCCTGACTGCTCCCCATCTTGGGCTGAGGTGGACTGACACAGCCCCTGTTCCCCATACCCTGCCGGGTCAGTGAATCTGGAGCTACTCTCACTAGTTTGAGGCAAAATAAAAGAATGAAATTGAATCATACCTGGTCCCTGCCCTCAGGAAATTAGTCTTGCAGATGAGACAAACTTGGATGCATTCACCAGCCACCCTACAACACCCTCTCCCCCGAACCCCATTCAGTATGCTCAGCACTGAGATGGAGGAAAATTGAGGAGCTGCAGGATCCCAGAAAGGGGAACCACCAGAACTGGGTCTGTCTGGGAGAAGTCAGGGAAGGCTTCCTGGAGAAAGCGACATTTGACTTGACAAGGAATACTGAAAAGCTGGGAAACCACAAGTCAGGCCAAGTCCAGAAGCCCAGTTGGAGAAAGCTTTGTACCCAGCAAGGACCAGTATTGAGGAGCCTTTCTTAGCAGTTGAACCCCAACTCCCCACACATACACACATCTTGCTTCCTTGGGGAAATGGCCCCTTGGAGATAGCTTGAGTGAATAGAGTATAAGATCAGCCTACCCATTTATAAAGGAATGACTAACCTCTCTAATCTCAGTTTTGTAGTCTGTAAAATGAGAATAGCAGTACTCATGTTGGCAGAGTTATTGGGTAAATAAGATTTTTAATCATTTCAGTAGGTGCTCATTAAATTCAAGGAACCTGCTCTCTCTACTTTTGGCACCTCTAATTTTTGGTGGCCAGGCTGGAGCAAGGGCTCTGGGGCAGGTGAAACGACACTAAGGTGGGCAGGACTTCTTACCATCCTACAGGGTACTCTCTCACGACGTTGGGAGGTAGCCAGGCTCAGGGTCGTCATGGCCAGGAGCAGCAAGATCTGGCAGCTCATGGCTCTGTGCAGGGGGAAGAAAAGGACCACAGTAAGACCACTGACTCCCTCCACAGACAGCCCCACTGCTTCCACCCGGACTGTGCCAGTCTTTGGAGGATCCCAAGTCCCACCATTCCACGCAGCAAGGATAAAGTTGTCTGTGGCTGGGGCAAGAAGAGGGTGGGAAATGGAGTTGCAGCTGGTTACAAAGAGCCCTGTACACCACACCAACGGGAAAGTGTGAGTTTTAAGCATGGTTTTAAGTATGGTCATATTTGAGTAGTCACAAGGCCCTTGGAGACAGGGGTTGAGCTGCGGCTGTCCTGGGTCAAGCTCAGGACCAAGAAGGGGTGGGGTAGGGGCCTCTAACTCTATTTCCACCCTGGTCACAAATAGGTCCCCAGTCTGAGCTCTTGGGGCCCCACACAGAATTCCTCAGTCTACCCCCAGTGACTTATTTTGCTCCTTTTCTTTTGATTCTCTGATTCATGGGCTGTAGCTATTGTTTGAGGGTTAAGCTGGGGGCCTCAACAGGAAGCCCCGCCAGGAGACCTGCCCTCCCCCAGTGTTGTATGTGGACTTCCCCAGCGGCCAGCTGCCAACCCTGAACTTTCACTGGAGTGGCCTCCAGCTCAGGAAGGTACAGGCCTGCTGGGGTTGCCATGGGTGGCAGGTGGAGGGAGGAGGGGGTCAGGGGTCTCAGGGACGCTCAGCTCAGTCAGATCCTAGAGTGCTAGACACTGCTCACTCCCTTGTTAAGGAAGTGGGCCAAGGGCTAGGGCTGCACTGATTACTCTACCAACTTCATTTGTTCTCACGCACGTTCATCTATCCACACTTTTACTAGTGGGCTGCCTCCTCATGCCTGACTCTAGGCTGGGAACTGAGGACCACAGGAAACGCTCAGCAGTAGCCATAATGTGTGTGGACAGTGTTAATCACATCAAGCCCTCCAAGAGCCCTGGACTCGAGGTCACCAAATCCTGGCTGTCCCTTCTGCCTCCTCGGCTGATCTACTCTGTGACCAAGTCAGTTCATTTCTCTGAGCCTCAGTTTTTCTTTTGGAGGTAAAGGCCAATCTCACCAGGTTTTGTTTAGGATCAGATGAGATATACTCTGTGAAAGCACACCATATTCACAGAGCCCTCATTAGGCACCAGACGTTTTTCTCAACACCTCACTCTTAATCCTACCGTAACTTAATAGCTGAAGTCTATCATCTTCATTCCCATTTTATAGATGGAGAAGCCGAGGCTCAGAGAGGTTAAGTCACATTTCCAAGATCACACAGTAAGCAAGAGCAGGCCCAGGCAGTCTGGCTCCGGTGTCTGTGGCTTAAACATCTATAGACTACAGTGGCCCAGCACATGCTGAGGTGTGACTCTGCAGGGCCAGGCAACACACGTCCTCTTATTTTTCTGAGAAAATCTGAAAGCTGTTTTCAAAGAGCCACTTATAGGGTCTCTGAATTGTATCTTTGACTGTTAGAACCCCCTATTACCCCTGAAAAGGAATTTTAACTGAAGATGGCTACTCGGAGGGCCTTTCTTGGTCAAACAGCAAGGGCCCTAGTGCTGTCCTTTAAACTTGTTCTCTAGGCTCTCCCCATGGCTGCTTATGATCAACTGCTTCACAGATGTGAGTTTTCTTGTGAAATTCTGTTTTAAAAAGCTGAACAACACAACTGTGTGGAAGCTCAGTCTCAGTGCTGTCAAGCTGAACTGACTCAGCTAATCCTCCAACAAGGTTTTAGTGGCTGTAAATGACACAGGAGGCGACTGCCCGTCCTTTCCCCTTGGAGATGCTTTAAACTGCCAGAGAGGCGCCACATTTGGTTTAACAGTGCAACTCCCTGTAGCCTACACCACCAGAGCAACCTGTTTGAAAGCCAGTTGCCCCAGAATTGAGTGACAATCTCTGTTGGGGGGCCTTCAAGGTCCTTGGGAGCAAGCCTCATCAGCCAGCAGCCCTTCACAGCCTCTCTCTCACACACAGAGTTCTGGATAACTCTTCCTACTGTCAGCTTTCTGGGCACCTTTTCACTGCCCTGATACCTTCACTTCCTCTCCTCATCATTCAGGACTCAGCTTAGACATTGCCAAGCTTCCCTTGGTTCTCCAACTCTGGGCTATTTATGGCCCATCCTCCAACCCCTGAGCCTCTCGTGAATACAGTACCCCATCCTACGGGAAGCATCTAAAGGGTAGAGGGGTTCACTCTCTCTGGGACCCACCTCACAAGTCAGAGCTGGCAGGGGGCCACTAAAAAGTGGCATGGGGAGTCTGATAAGAGGCTCTGACACCTTCACAGCCTCTCTCTCACACACAGAGTTCTGGATAACTCTTCCTTCTGTCAGCTTTCTGGGCACCTTTTCACTGCCCTGATACCTTCACTTCCTCTCCTCATCATTCAGGACTCAGCTTAGACATTGCCAAGCTTCCCTTGGTTCTCCAACTCGGGGCTATTTATGGCCCATCCTCCAACCCCTGAGCCTCTCGTGAATACAGTACCCCATCCTACGGGAAGCATCTAAAGGGTAGAGGGGTTCACTCTCTCTGGGACCCACCTCACAAGTCAGAGCTGGCAGGGGGCCACTAAAAAGTGGCATGGGGAGTCTGATAAGAGGCTCTGACAAGATTGGATATTTCCCTTGACTCTTCCTTCACGTCCCTAGAGCAGTCCCCACCCCCCACCCCCCGTCCTCAACAGAATCCATGTTCTCCCACAAAACAGCCCAGATTTACCCACTCCCTCCCCCATCACCACCAGGATCCTGAGACTCCATCAGGGCACCAACCTCTCAAGTTTGTTCCACTGCGTCCACCCTGACCCTTACGAGAGTAACATTTTAAACTCATAAAACCATGTGTCACAAAGCAAATTTCGAATGCTTAAGAGCCTCGAAGGCCTCCCATCTCTTAAAATAACATCCAAGCTGTACCGTCTTTTCTCTTGATTCCATTGACTATTTTCCCTGCCCTCACTGAAGCCTATTCTTCACACACAGCAAATTCATCCCAGCCTCAGGGCTTTTGCCCTCCCAGTCCCCTCTGCCTGGAATGCTCATCCCCAGATGGTCACATATTTGCTGGTTTTCCTAGCCTTTATTATTATCTGATCATCTATTTCATCTGCTTTAGGAGCAGGGACCTAGTTCACAGGTGCTCACTAAAATCAACTGTATGAGTGGCAAAGTGGGTGCAGGCGTTTGACTGTAGTGGCAAATGGGGGGTGAGGATAAGAATGGACCAGAGAGTTTAGTTCTGAGCCTGGGGGTTGAAGTCTCTCCAAAGGGTCCTTATAGTCTCTCCCATTGCCAAACCCAACCATATTACCCCTAAAATGAGCATTTGAGAACTGTGCCCTAGCATCTGATAGGAGGCCCTCAGCAGTTCCTAAGATACTGGTGTGTAGCATATAAGGGCCACCCCTCTGAACGTTTCCATTACACCAGCCCAAGATTTCCCTCCCAACCTACCCCACCAGTGTATGTACACGTACACGTACACACACACACACACACACACACTCAGAGTGCTGGCTCTGGGATGGTTTCCTCTCTTTTCTCAGCCCTGATGAACTTACTGGCAGAGCAAGGTTCTGGGAAAGACGATGTGGATGTTAGCACCATGCAGTGAATCACTAAGGGCAAGTCCCGTTCTGGAGATACATACATCCCACGGGGGAATTAGACCTTAACCCAAAGGAATGTGGCTGCGATGGCAGAATTTCAGGCAGCTTGGAGTGGGGTTGGGTGTCCCTCACATCTTCCCACCCAGGAAGAAGGCTGGTTTCAGAGACCCCTGACAGAGATGGGTAACCTCTCCTTCTTCCAGAGAGTCTGTGGGATGGGAAGCCCCCAGGCTCAGTCCTGAATCAGAGAGTAATAGGCCCAGATCAAATCCTCATCTGACCTTCACTAGCTTCGTATTCCTGAGCAAGTCTGCCTTTTTGATCACACTTTGTCCATCCGTCAAATGGGAACTGCGAACTCGCCCCCTTCGCCCCTCTCACAAGGTCTGGTGAAGACTTGGAAATCTGTCGAGGACGAGGGAGGGTCAACCTCGAGGGCAGCGGGAGGGGCGTGTTGGGAGTAGGGGGGTTCCTGATGCTTCCCAGGCTGCGCGCCCCGCCCTGGTTCCGAGGGGTGCTAGCCGTCGGTTCCGAGGGTGTTGGCCAGCCTTGCCCGCTGGGCGGCTCCTACCTGGCTCAGCGCAGCCGCCGCTCCTTTCCACAACGGGCCCGGAGCATTTTGCGCAAAACTGTCCCCTCGGTCCCACCCCGCGCCAGAGCCCGAGGTCCTGGACGGAGGAGGCGCACTGCCGCTCCGCTGCCCCAGGGAGCGGGACCCGCGAGGGGGCGGCCGCCGCTTCGGTTTAAATGCCTCTCCCGCCGGCCCGACCCGCCACGCCCCCCCCGGGCGAGATCGCGGGGTCCTAGCGCCCGCCGCCACCACGTTGCCTCGGTTTATCCGGAACCGGCTGGCGCGGGCGGGGGGGGGGGGCGGCAGGAGGAGGTCGATACATCTTTAAGCTCAACTCGAGCTGGGAAAGGGCGGAGAGGGGCGGGATAAAAGGGTCCGGGAGTCAGAAGGAGAGGAAGCTCTGGGCTCTCCGCTGTCGCACGTGCAGTTGGCGGCCCCGCGGGGTGCCGAGGGGCGGGTGGCTCCAAGGGCCGCAGGTCCGCGGAGGAAATCCGGCCTGGCCCCGCTGCCGGCGCCACCGCACTTAAGGGGGGCCGACAAGAGAGGTGGTGGCGTGGCTGCATGCGGAAGGAAATGACCCTTCGCTGGCCCTGGGGCGGCCATGGAGGGGGTTCCCCCGCACCGCATCTCGGCCTTCCCTGCTAGTGAGCCCGAGCAGGTCACTGCCCCTCTGTGGACAGTCTGCAGTATCCAGGTGCGCCCTCCTCCATCGTCTTTACCCTAACTGACTCTAAAACTGCCAATAAAGTCCCCACTTTTCAGATGGAGATGGAAACATAGAAATAAAACCCAGCAATTTTTGGAACTTGAAAGG